ACAACCACCTGCTTATTTCCAGCAGCAAAAAAGACAGAAAAAGTCTCTGGGGAGGAGGGACAGAGCACCATTTCCTATTGTTGACTGAATATAAACAACTGTCTAGTTGACACAAAACCCCATCCTCTGACTACACCAATGCACTGGAATCTTCTTTTCCAGTGACAGATAAGACCATCACACAATTCTGTAGAGACCCGGAAAGCCGAGTGGCATCACACTCTCTTGCATAATTTTTAAGAAAGAAATGTAAGAATTACAACGCTTGATTTCTGTTAAGCTGGTATACAAAAATGTGATATAAGTAATGGCTAAGTTTTTTATTATATATAAGAACAGAAGGTTCTTTTACAGAAAAGCAGGACATGTGTAAAATGGATATTTCTATATGGTAACATCCTTCCTCTAATGTTTAAGCATGTGTTCTTTCTTTGCAATGTGCCATCACCAACAATAGCGCTGCAAGCTGAATTCTCTCTGCTGGTAACCTTGTACAGTCCTATCCTTACTCAAGGAGACTGCAAGGAAATTATATAGGAAATCGTTGCCAGTTTAACAACCATATGCTGACTTCTATGCAACCCACTCAAGCCTAGACAATAGATTTAAACAACACTCTGGTTATAGTATTTACACTGTACATCACAGGAAAGGTGGAAAGAGTCACACTTACTAATTAATCCTGGCTAATTTTCAGTTTGCAATACTAACAGTATTCTTTTCTTTCCCTCCTTCCCTACCCTCTCCCTTTAAACCAATAACTTAACGGCACTAACCAGGGCGCCAGGAGGACCTGTGCTTCCATGCCAATCACTTCTGAAGCAGCTATAACCGCTTCACAGGCTGCCAGTATCTCTTTTTTTGTTGGAGTATAGTCGGCCTCGGATTTTCTGTATCCCCGACCCCAAAAGCCAAGGAGCTGACCTCGAGTCTCCCCTGAAGCTTTCTGCTAGAGGCTCCAGGTAGGACCATTCTCCCCAGCTGCAGTGTAGAGGGCATTTTTAACACCTTGCCCAGTACAGACTGGCCCAAGAGCTACTGCATGAACTATCTACAACTGTTACATCTCAAACCAGGGCACTGATCAAACCAATATGACTCTCTAAAGAAAAAAAATAAACAAATGAACAAACAAAAGAAAACCACCACACACCAAAAAAAAAACCACCAAAACAAACAAAACCAACCACCACCACACACACACACAAAAGCAAAACACAAAAACAACAACCCAAACCAACAACCCAAACAAAACCCACCAAACCAAAAAGCAGCATTCATGACCTGAACTGTACACAAACAGCCAGAGCTAGAAGGAGCACATCATCCACTAATGGATATACTGAAATCCTAGATGGGTCTAACACTTCTGCTGCAAAGACTTACATATTCTTCACTACAGCAAACTGAACAAGATGCATAGCACTAGAGGCTCCAGACTGTTCAGTGCAGTTCCCTTTGCATGCAAAACCACAATCTAAATTCCCTACTACCTGTAGCCCCGTAACAGGGTATTTTTGGGTACAGTCATGCAGCCAGAGCAGCAAGACTGTAGAGCTTCACATCTAAATCCAACTTCTAGCACAGTACTCAGGGCACTTGGTCAAACCCAGGTCTCCAATAGCCATTGCTGGCGCACTAATCACACACCGGACAAAAGGAACTTGCTTCCTGCTCTCCCTCCCCAATCCTCCTTCCCCTAGCTTTGATCAAAAGTAACCATGCTTGATGAGCTCTGCTCCAAGTTCAAGATATTCTAAAACGGACAGACTTGATCTGAAAAAGCTTATGTCAAAATATTCAAGGGTTGAGGAAAGGTTTTACACTTCCACCTTCACGGCTCCAACATAACAAAGCTCAAACCAACCCTAAGCAACCACCTCAGCAGATGAAATTCAAGCATGAGTCTGTTTCTCATTGTTTCAGCAACGAGACTTTGATGAAGCGCACTGCTACTTTATTGCTCCAAAATGTATCATTTTCAACACCATCTCAAATTAAGATACATGTGAAGATTTAAATAAACAAAAATATAATAATAATAGAACCATTACGACTGAGGCTCTGCTAGGCTTCTGAAAGTAAAATTCAGGCAAAATCCTTGATATGAATGTAATACTGAGCCAATTCTGCTTAACACACAGATGCAGATTTTTTTACTGACAGTTGTATTCAAACAGTGAGTGCAACTGACCAATAATTTTAGAAAGTACATTATATGGCTAAAGGTAATTCAAGCTGGGGAAGGTGGGAAGAATTAAATGACACTTCAGAAATATTAAGCAGCATTTTTTCTTTAATGTAGAGCTTCATCCCTAGAAACTGCACATTTACCTTTATCAGGACAAAAAGCCCAATGATTAACTCAATGCCATTAAACAACAGATAATAATCCCTTTGGTTTGTCACAATATAAAAGCACAAACTTTCAATTTGCTTTTATACCTTATAACCCATAAGAGATGTGAATATGTTTCAAAAACATCTGTGCTGGGGATATTTGGAAAAACATAATTGTTTCATTCACCTTCAAGCAGCAATGCAAAATACTAATCAAGATAAAATTCAGCAGCTCAATATGAATGATAGGTACAAAAAAAGGCAAAAAATCACATCTTTTGACAAGACAGAATGAATGTAAGGTATCTGACAGTCTTCAGACTTTGTTGAGACCTTCAGGCAAGTTAGGATTGGAGTGGAGAAGTCCCAGAAATGGACCTAAATTCCCACAAAACAATATGCAGTTACACTTTTAATAGAAAAAGGTTTGCAGATACTACAGTAAAGGCATATACCTGCCTCAACTTTGCGTGCAGACAAAGTTCAGTTTTGACAATGAGAAACTGACAAGAGAACTGAAGCATGCATCCTAACTGGTGGTGAAAGCCTTCTGTAGACATGGTAGCAGATGATAAATATGACATACCCTTCTGCAGAGATGCAACTTCGGTACAGCTACAAGGATAAAAAAGTTCAGAGCCTGTACTGCATGAACCTTCACAGCTGGAGCAAGGTTGAATGCTGAAAAGAAGGATTTACTGCCTGCTTGACAGTAAAACTCCCATTTATTGTTTTTGCCAACAACATACTAAAAATAATGCTATGCATATACTTTAAAAATAAACAAATGAACAAACCTTTTTCCTCCCCAGCCAGCTATCAGCTTTTTGTGAAACTCTCCTGGGTAAGCTTAGGCCATATTTCAGAAGTTAATGTACTAATTAAAATAAGAACTAGCAGCAGCTAAGCAAAGTTTTCTTTAATCAGTTTGTCCAAGCATTCACTTCAATCTATCCTACCCTGCAAAACACAAGACTTACATACTTTTACTTGAAAGCCCAATGATATGCTAGTAGGAACTAGGTTATTTTCCCTTATCATTGTTGTAGAATTGATTTGTTCACTGCTATTACCTGCTTTTCCGGGAGCGGGGAAGGGGAGAGCCCCGGTCTCTTCACATTCAACTGAGAAGCAGCTGAACAGGTCTAGAACTGTCACCTTTACTAGCCCCCCTGCTAATGGAGATCCCATTCCTGACTCTCAATGGAAACACATATTACAAATTGAAACAAAGCCCGCTTTCTCATTTTTAAGTTAAAGTGCAATTGGAAGAACTGAAGCAACGCTCTGGACACCTCTCCAGATCTTGCTTCTTTTCTCCCCTCTGGTTGCAGACTTGGAATGCAGAATAAATATGTTCTCCTCCATACCTAGGGTTATTTTCCCTCTGAACAGAGAGGCAGCAATCACCCCATTTGTTATGGAAATCTTATTCAACAGCAACTGCTATAAGCTAAAATCAGATCCTTCTGTGGCCAAAACCAGAATATGTAATCCACAAAACGAGTGCTCTAAGGTGTCTGGAAATCATTTTACATAGTTTGTGGATGGCATGGTTAAATAGTATATCTGGGGTAGCCACCTTATTTATTTATTATTTTTATTTCCAAAACAGTTTAGGCATACTTTCAAAATTGATTCTCTATTTCCAATAGAGATTCCAATTGATTGTTCATTTCCTATCCTAAGGAGAAAGGAGCCCATAAGGCTAGAAAACTCCATCTTTACAGTCTTCTCCTTTCTGCAAGAACCTGCCCCAAACAAAGCTTTAAAACCATTACTTTGTTATTCAGAGTCTAAATGTGATTTAAAATACAAGCTGGAGGAAGATTAGGCCAAACTAAAAGAAGGGGGGTTTTGGATACATATATTCAAAACTGCTAATGATATCTTGGTCCTCTTTTTCCTTGGTCGTTGTGTTTGGTTTTATTTTCTGGTTTTTGGTGGGGTTTGTTTTTTTTTTTTAACACTCAAGGAAGGTGCTGGCCTGGTTCTCAACAAGGTTTCTACACATGGGATACTTAAAGGACAAATAAGTTGTTTAATACATGACATTCCCCTGTGACAAACCAGATTCCAAGTATCACATCACCAAAAGGGAGCCAACAGAAAAAACCCCTTCCCTCGTTAACATTTCCCATGTTAAAACCACATGTAATCCACTGAGAAGCAGAAAATATTTGCCCAAGAGGTAAAATAATTGACATAATATGTACATTCCTTCTTAAAAATCAAAGAAGTGTAATCTTTCTGACAAACTGGTTTCATGGCTTAACTGTTTTCGTCAAGACACATGGCTGTTCACACAGCAATTTGCTTTCTGGTGCTCCATGATTGCTATCCAGGTAAATATGAAGGTTTTCAGAGTAACTGCTCTGTAGCTGGAAAAGTGGCCAAAATCTGTGAAGAGAATGATTCAGTGGGAAATTTATGAAAGGGGTGGGAGGAGAGAGAGAGACACTCTTTTTAGTCCTGGGTTGGGTATTTTTTCCAGCCTAGTTTAGGCCACAGAGCAGTAAGAATGTGAACTGACAAGGAGGAGAGTAACACACATAAAGAAACACTACTTGACAAATTTTTTTAGGACTTCATTATATGCATTTTACTATGAAATGTAAAAATCTTTGAAAGTGAACACTTGCACAGAAACTCTTTTCTGGACAAGGCAATTTGTTCTGCAATATCAACATTGCGAACATGTTCTACTACTTGCTGTCAGCTTCCTCACAAGCAAATAATTCCCATTTTACAGAATTATCTATGTAAATCTGTATGATTTTCATATACTACATAAACATTACAAACTGTTTACGTAGACCAACATGGTCTATGACTTAAATAAACTGTCTTTATGACAAGCGTCTGACTACAGTCAGCATCTTCTACTACTAGACAGATTTTTTTGAAGTATGTAAATTGAGAAACCATTTTGACTGATGAAAGAGCACATGCTAATCTATTTTAATTAGGAAGTCACCTCCAACATAATACTGAGAAGCTTAACATGTTTTTTCAGCCTGCTCTGAATGGAACCAAACATTAGTAAATACACTGACAGTTTTGGGTACTGGATCATTCCAAACCATATCACCATATTTTTTTTGTTGATTACTAACTTGTTAATACCGAGTGATAGCCCTTCCCACTTAACCTCTTGGAAAAGAGGAAGTAACAGGTTACGCATGCTTTACTGAGAAATAGGACTGAGAATGTAGACAACATCTGAAACAACTGGAAAAACAAACAAATAAAACAAATACTTTCACATTAGATCAATAGTGTGTACTTTCCCATTTCTCCTATATGCATTAAGTATGCCAGGACCAAAAATTTGCTCCTGAGAAAGATACTGACTACAACAACTCAGCTCATATCCATTAAAGTAGAAAAGAATACAGGTTTTTTGCATGTCTCACAGGGTCTTAACTCCAAAAAAGAAAAGCACTTAATGAGCAATTGGTCAAGTGTGAATTTGGACTTAGCACACCTCTGTGCATTTGAGCCACTCCAGAGAATGCTGACCAAGAGATTTTTACATGTCATTAAAGAACAACATACCTTCCAAAGGTTTTAAGAAATTTTCAAATATCATTCCAGCTGATAGGATGGAAGACCATATTTATTTTTACTAGAAGTGAAGGAGAATAGGGGAAAAAAAAATGAAGACTTTTACCACCAGCACACTTACATGTGGATAAAGATGATAATATAGTGTTGATATCATCTCTTGTTCAGTAACAGGGACGATCACCCCCCTTCAAATGAGCTTACTGGAGTAACATTTTCCACAGAACACATACACTTCTGCAGAAGATATGTTACAGTTCCAGACTTGGGAGATATGACTTCCTCCTTTCTCTTGGAGGCTTATATTTCTGAAAGTAACCAGGACTTTGAACAGGGGCGTTAAGCATTCAAGTTTCCATTTCCTGAGATTTCAAGTGCTATCCTGTAAAACAGCAGCAGCTTAGCAGGGAGAAAAAGAGAAACATTTTTTAATCATTCTTTGAGGACCATTCCCTGCCAAAGCCATGAGATTAGATACTAGAAAATCGTGATAAATATAAAAAAAATGGTTTTGCTAGTTACAGTACACAGGAATGACTGATGCAGGCTTGTACTTATTAGGTGTAAAACATGCTTGTGTGCTAGAAAATCCTTCTTTTCCCCAAAAGCGATTAGGTAGGGGAGCACGGTTGTGCAAACAAGGTGGCCAAGATCTTATTCCCCCAGTAAGAAAAGATGAGGTAAATTTATTTCTTCCACACATGCTCACCAGGATACAATTTGAGTGTGGAGAACTAGCTCTCTCTTCAATTCTATGCAGAAGCAGTGAAGCAACAAACTTTACTTTTTCCATGCTGCAGAGGCAAAGTCGACCTGCTAAAAGAAAAGCTGTTTCCCCTAAAGCTTTTACAAGTATGGGGGGGGGGGGGGTGGGTGGGAAAGACACATCACATACCAAGTACCTGAACTGCCATGAGGACTTTCAAGAGACAGTAACAGAACAGGTTACTGTGTACCACTCCCTCTAAGGAAAACAATGCAGGTTGCAACAGTACTGTCGGCAGGTAGCTGCAAATTCAAAGATAAAACCATAATGACACTTCTCTCAAAGGTTCTTGTAACTATAAGCACTAGGGAAACTTGTTAGTTTGATTTCAGAAACCCAAATTGCAGTTCAATTCTAAAGCAAGCCAGTTTCCATGGGAGAAAAATTCTAATTAATAAACTTCCTACAGTGTGCTGGGAGGCCAGTGACTCTAAAGAAAACTAAACGAGATCTCACTGTAGACCAGCAAGTACAGTGTAGACTAGCAAGTACAGAAAGAAGTTTTGGCAGAGATACCAAGGAGCTTTATATTATAAAAGAAATACTAAAATAATGAAAACTGGCAGAGGAACACTTAAAAAGCATTAAGGAATATTGACACTCAAATTGGAAGTAAAATATTGGTACAGAAGAGACTAGCAGAAAACAAAACTGTTCTGTGTTCATTAACCAAGCAACACAGAACGCAGAGTCAGATCCAGTATAATCTTTCCTTCAAGTTATTCTGAAAACACTCAAGGGTGTAGGAAGGAATAAGATGAACAAAGCTTTTTTTTTTCCAAAATATATAAATATGCATAGAACTGATACAGAACAGTATATTAATTTTTAAACCCAAACTTTAATCTTTCTGAAACAGCTCTTAAGATTACAGAAAGTAAACTAAGATCAAAAATGTAAGGTACTGTACCATAGCAAGAACAGTAACAGGAGTGCCACATGCAAATTTTAGCAGCCAAAATGAAAGGAAAAAGTACTGAAAGTTTGCTCATTAACTACAGCTGTATCTGAAGATGAGGCAAGGAGGAATACAAGATACTTCTCTTTACAGAAACTCCACAATTTTTTCTAAAGAAAATAAACATCACACAGCTCTCTTTCACTGACACAGGCTTTACAAAACAAATTCTTGTAACTGCTGTAATCAGTAATGAAATCCAGCCAAAATTTGTCATTTTAAGAGTACAGATGAAAATGTAGAACCAAATAGCAGCTCAAGATAAATTTCATCAAGAAACTAGAGATGGCAGCAAAGTCTCAAGCTATCAGTTGAGAGTAAAACTTAAATTAAAAGGAAAGTACTGAATAATTCTTACAGCCTTGTTCAAACAGTAAACATTTCAAGTTGGCTTTCTCTTTTTCCTTTTCCTTGAACAGTGACAATACAGAAAAAAAAAAAAGGAAACCCACTAGAAAGAAAAGGTATAAACCACAGTAAGACTTCACTTTCAAACACAAGGACTTCACAGATCAATCTTCAGCACATATCAGAAAAAAAACATTTTTAAGCAGCTTTCAAGAAAAGATGCACATTTAAATCTATCATGTATCAATGTACTCAGAAGTCACCACTGATTTCTGAGTGTTCCAATCATGTATCTGAAACCACATTTCACGAATGCATTATTCTCATGCTTTTGCTCAGCTTTGCAACCCTAATGAATACTGAAAAATCTGGTACAGGCTCAGTTGCAGGAAAAGAATTCACACCTCTTAGTCTTCTGCAACACCTAGTTTTTTTAAAAAAATACATTATTAGTATAGGAAACTAAGTTCTATTCTGAAAAATAGCAAATATTCAGGGAAAGAATCACAAAAGTTTCACAAAGTGATCTCAGATTTTTGCTAAACTGCCTCCTGAGAATCCTCTAAAATGCTACACACTTCTGGGTTTGCTATTTAATTCTAAAAGAAAAGGATCATCACATAATGAAAAGTTCTGTCTCAACAGCAACAAATAGCTCAGTATCTCACAACTAAGGAAAACACCAAAACCAACAGTTCTGCTACATATTTTGTCAAGCTACTAACTGTGACATGTTCTCAGAACCAAACTGTCAGTCCATGTCCAGTGCAGCAGCATCTGCTACTCTCTCATCAATGCTTGGAACACTCACTCTGAAACTGGGAGGCACATATTCAAGTCCTTCCCTAACACGCAGCACCTGAAAAAACACTCACCAGAATACATGAGAAACAAAGGTATTCTTCTCAGCACTGCTGGCTGTTGTTTTATGGAAATATTTAATATTCACCAGACCACTAAGAAGGGAAAAGCAACATCCACGATGATCATACTCACTAAGCAAAAAGAAATCCGATTCCCAGTCCCTGTTGTGAGAATTTTATTTCATACACACAAGAAAACCAACTCTACAGCCAGCAATCTATTTGAAAACATTCCTAACCAGCACAGCAAACAGACAATTCAGACTTTTGAACACTTTAAACTAAAAAACTAAGAATTCAAGAAAGATAATATGTCTGCAAGAGTTCAGAAAGTATCCTGCCTCAATGACAGCTATGAAGTATTCAATACTTTCCAATTGGAAGTGCCTGCAGCTGAATAAAAAAAAAAAAAAAAGGACACACTCAAGATCTAAGATTAGAGAAAGAGCTCCTGATATTTTAAGCACCCTGTTTACTTTAAGAATAAAGAAGACAGAGGAACATGTTTTAAAGACAATTGAACCTTAAGGGCTGAACATCCGAGAAACCTATCCAACAGGTAACCATTTTTTCATAGAGGGAAAAAAAAACAAACAACCCAAAACCAAACAAACCAACCCAAAATATAAATAATAAATAAAATCTTAAGCTGTAACTGAGCAAAACAGTTCTGTCTGACCTTCAGTTTGAAAGCCCCTTTTGTTGCTTTCATCTCTCTGGTGCCAAAGCTCTGGAATTAAGACACTTGTAGGAACACACTAAAGAAGAGATTAGCTCTCGCTTGGGGGTTATAGAAAGAAAAACAGTGTTTTCTGTAAGCCGAAGTTGGTACTTTTAAATCTAAATGATCTAGATATACTAATAGAGAACTTTTCCTTTTTCTTTTTTTTTTTTTTTAAAAAAAAAGGAAGGAGAGCAAATATCTTAATTGAAACAAGTTCTTAACTAATGCAGTACGTTTTAGATTTAGGTTTAGAGCAAAACAAAATCTGAAGAAAAAGGTAGCTCAGGAACATTCTGAATTTCTTCAATTTTCCTAAATATCTTATCATTACTTTTGCACACAATCACACCAGAACCAGCAGAAACACAGTGAGATTTGGCTTCTATAAAAATTAGAAGCACTCACAAATGTTAAGCATGTTTGTGGTTCAGAGTACATCCAACTGTTAATATTCAAGTCCTGAAGGACCAAACAAAATACATGCACACTTCAAAAGCATCTAACCATGTCATAAGCTAATATGCTTCAAAGACTTAGTTCAAACATTCAAAAAACACAAATCCCACATTCACACTTTGCCTTCCTAATTTTAATTTGACTCTATTGTGTATTCAATTTAAATCCTAAATAAGGTGAGGTCCTGACAAAGTTAGTGCTTAGTTTTAATTATGAGGAATGTCTATGTGTATAGAAAGAAGGAAGAAGCAAATTAATAACATAAAAGCAACTAAGTGTGACTTTTGTGTGTGTATGAGTAATTTTTGTTAATTTAAAACTTATTTTTTCCTTCAAACAAACAAACAAAAAACAAAAAAAAACCAAAGCAAACAAAAAACTCTTTCCCTTTCCTTACTATTTTTGGATTACTGCAGAAAAGAGCCTGGAAACTATCCTTCTGTTTAACATACAAAAAAGCCAAATATGCTTTACAAAAAGCAACAACAAAGCGTTATATGATGTGGCCTTAGTAGTTCATTGTTGTCAAAGGTGAGAAGCAGGAAGTTGTCCTGCATGCTTCTCTCCCTCCATTCCTAAATTTTCTACCTTGAGCTAGCCCTGACTGCATTGTAGGTCTTGTCAAGCCAGTGAAATCAGCAGAATAACAACCCATTCAACAACTAAATATTTTCATAGTCCACCTGGCTTATATAGATCAGATGAATACTAAAGCTGGCATAGAGGAAGGGTATCACAAGGCATGAAACCACATAATTAGAGCAAGATCTCCCTCTTCCAGCAGCAGCAAACTTAATTCAGCTCACATCATAATTGAACTCATATGCTCACAGTGCCTCACACAGAGGCAAAAAGAAGAGAAAGGCTAATACTACCATGTTTACAGAATCTACAGACCAGCTATAAGTAGATACTGCATTCCTCTGGAATCATGGTATTCTTAAAAAGGCTTCAGGATTATGGAGATGCAGGATTTAACCTCAATTCCCTTAACCTCAATTAGCTGCCTTCTAGTTAGACCAGTGCTGGCCAAACAGATGTTTTCTCTAAAGCCATCTGAACCCAACCTATCTCATCCTGCTAGATTCAAGTTCAACCCTAGCAAACCTGAAGTGTTCCACAAAGATCTGCTCTGTTCTAGGAAGTTACTAGGTCAGATCAGTATCAATGCAGGAAAGATCCTATTACTAAAATAAATCATTCCCTACATTTTTTATTTTTTTTTTGTAATCTTCTCAGGCTACCCCCATCCCTACTCCCTAGATTGCCTTTTCACAACCAGTAAGAGGGGGGTGGAGGGAAGGTTTGGAGAGGGAAGTAGGATTACCTCATTTGCTTCCTCACTGTCCCTTCCACTTACAGGTGTACAAATGTCTCTAACCAAATGTAAATCAGTGCTTTCCTACTGTTCAGAACTGTTTCCCTCTGTTCAGTATCCAGAACAACATCTGGAGACAAAGAAGAAAAAAAAAAAAGAGAGAAGAGAAAAAAAAAAAAAAAAAGAGAGAAAAGTGGGCAGCTGACCACTACATTTGCAGCAACAGCTGCAGCATTTCCCCGGAGCAGGGTGGAAGTAAAGTAATAGGAGACTATTTTGACTGGCTTCTCCAAGCTCGAACATCAGGAAAGCAGTCAAAGGTTTTATTCATAGACACTCTCCCCAAAATAAAACTGGGAGAATAAAGAAGATAGAGAAACATGGCTGAAGACCTTGTCAGGACAAGTTAAACTTCTCTTCAGGAGAAATACTAAGAACTTTTCTCTTTTGGTTTGTGGTTTTTGTTTGGTTTTGCTGGTTTGTTGGTATTTTGTGTGCATTTGGGTTTTTTCCCCCTCTTGAAAGAGCAATGAACGAGGGACTACCTTTGTACAGATTGCTTTTATTTTTTTTCCTCTTTAAAGACGACAGATTTAATACTGGGAAAATCCATAATGACTTCTGAAAGCACAAAAAATAAATGGATACTTCACATACTCACATAAGAAGACATCTAGAGATGGATTTCATAAAGTTCTGAATAACTTAAAGGCCACTCTACCTGCAAAGCCTCAGCCAAGACATTTTCTCCTACCCCTAGAGCTCTTTGGATCAAAAATTTTGAAATGTGAACTACCTTCCAAACCCTGGTAACAGTGACTTTAAATGAAGTTACCCAAGAACCATGTGTTTCCTAGAAAAGGAACACTTTAAAATTGTTTCTCATTCTCAAATACAGCAGAACTAACATTTTAATGAGATAAAACTAGTTTTTCAGCTGAGCTGAAAGTGCTTCCTAAAGAAATGAACTGAAACAGAACATATTTTATACCAGTTTAAATGCCCACTTACACCCAAGCTTCTACTTCTAAAAATTTTGTTCAGAAGCAAGTTCTTTACAACTTTCTTAATTCACATATCCCAGGAAATGTACTCAGCATTAAATGCTAGGAGTAACTGCTTATATCTAGCTAGAAAATGGGGATGTCAAGGAAAAATGAAATTGGAGTACCTGCAAGCAGTTACGTATGCCACTGGGTAGCCAAAGAAGCAAGCGAAGGAGCCACGTGAAAATCTATTTAACCAAATGCTATTTATAAACCTACGGTGGAAGGAAAACACACAGAACTTAAGGGGCACACAGTGAACTTTGTAAGTGTATAAGAACTGAAAACATCAAAGTCAATACAGCAATTGATAAAATATTGACAATACAAGAATACTGACACATCCTGAGACTGGAAGGAAAGTACAGCCCCATTGTACCTTGAATATTGCAATAAAAGTCTGAAGGTACATAGTAACTTTCTGGCTACCCCTGCTCACACTATTTTAGCAAAAAGATACGAAAGTAAAAGAACAAGGCACTTGTTAACCAAAGTACAGTCACTTCTGTCATTTGAGAATACATTAGGAAATAGTTCTTGGTCCTTTTAGTCCTGAATTTATGCTGTAACACATTTCTAGTTGTTTCTCTGAAAAAGACATCTTTGCTTCTCATACAAACTGAAGTGAAAAATTAAACCCTTACTATGATGCAAAGGTCTTTTATGGTCAAGCTCCAAAAATTATTCCAAACACTATTTAGCTGTTTTCATTTCAGAAAAAGATACTGGCTAAGAATGGGGCTTAAACACTAGTAACATTACTGTAACAGAAACACCAAAGCTTGTGGTGCACTTCTTTTTCTGACAAGGGAGGCATTATTTTCCCCAACAGACATCTCCCAAGAAAGACTATAACTCACTCTGAATACAGCAGAAGTTTATTATAAGAAGCTACTAACCTAACACTCTAAAAAACAGTTCAGTTTACAGCTACATTGAAGGTTCTCTCTTCCCACGCTTTCGATGCCTCGCCTAGGTGTCCCCTTACATGCATATCTGACATACGCAAAGAAAAAGAAAAGGGTTTCTTGAGGTTCTTGCTGTGGGTATATTAACTGATTGGTACACTATCTTCAGAGATCAGTCTAACTTTTTAAACGACTAGGGATGACAATCCTGGCCACACATTAATGTATCCGGTAGACGCTATTAAAAAAACAAAAAAAAGTACTCACTACTGGAAAGGGACAATTCATAGTTATTTTTATCAACTCCAAATTTGGCATAAAACACCTACTTTTAAGGACAACCACTTAGAATTCTGCAGTCACCACTCTTTAGATGATGCTCTACAGGTTTCTGAACAGTGATCTTTGGAAACATCATATTAGGATTAATACTGCTTCATTGCCTTTCATTGTAGTGACATCTGTATGAGATTATAAAAAGGCCACTGTATCAGACAGAGAGCCAAGCAGATGAGTTTCTATTGACATAAAATGTGTCTTTTCTTTCCCTAATATTTCTTTATCCTAGAGCATTTTATCTCAAGCATTGTATTTGATTGAAGTGATTATTGGGGATAAAGGCCCCATTCTTGAAGGCAGCAAAGTTTCACACTATTTTAATAAAAAGATCAAACTCTTGGAAATCCTCAAGACAAGGTAGCTTTTTTTTTTCTGTCCCACAACTTTTTACAGACAGCTGCTCCAGAATCTCAGAAGTAAATTGGCCTGAAATCTTCTAATTTTCAGTCTCAAACTACTCAGGACTAATCTACACACATTTGCTCATCTGCTCTTACCTTCAACGGCTTCCTTCTCTTAGGTGTTTAAGCACAAAAACGTATTTGTAAAGCCCTTGCACGATCTTTCTCAGTTTGCATTTTCCTAGATCAAGTTCCTTCAAACCTCTGTCTTAAGCAAGGCTCTACTTCCCAGTCATTACAGTGGTCTTGTTCACACCATATGGATTTATGTAAGAATGCAGCTGCTTATCAAAACAGCACTAGAAAAAGCAACAGAAATGGAGAGTACTGATTAAAATGTTGTAGTCTGCAACCAGGTATATTATTCGCTGTTCAGCCACAGTTGAACCTCTTAAGTATAAACAAGTCACTATTAAAGTTTCAATCCATAGCAGAGCAACTTAGCTAAGGAGATATTCTAGCAACTACATACTTCAAACAATCTAACATTATTTTCCTGAAGCAATGCACATTATGACCTCATGCTTAAATCAAATATTCATTATCATCTATTACACTTAAACACTGTAATACAGAAACCAGTGTACTAATAAAACATTCTCGTCTATTTCAAACAGTCTTAAAAACCCCTCAAAAGCTAAACTAGACAAATCACTTTCCATGTTCCAGAGAAGTTCTCTTGCATCTCCCCACTTTCCAAACAGTGACATAACACAGCTGTTTCACATTTTCATTTGGTTTGTCAAAATTATACCCATCAGTTACCTGCATCACTTCACCAGGAGATGCAAAATTTCAACAGTGTATACAGAAAAAGTACATTTGATAGTGAACACTATTCTCACTCCTGTGCAGAGAAAATGAAGGCAACAATGAAAAGAAAGTATCACTGAAACCATCAAAATACTTCTAGATAGTTTTGTTATCACAATACTTCAAATTATAAACATTTTTCCTTGGGCAAGGAATCCATGAGCTCTCTCCTTTCTTTCCTAAGGACTCCCAGTCTAAAGCATAAAGCATCCCCATGTCAAGGCAAGAGCTTAGGATGGAACTGCAACCACCATCCTCTTGCCTAACTTCAACAGGATACAAGCCTTCATACTTTAATACAAAACAACCCCGTCCTCTGTCCTGCCTAAAGACCTTGTATCCTCCTGCACATCTTTCGCAGTGTTCCAGCAGCGCTAGTAGGCTGCTGAAGAGAAACACCTGCAGGCTTCAGGCACTTAAACTCCTCTTTACTAGATGAGCCCAAGCAGAGAGAATTATCCTATCACAGGGGAAGGAGGGATGAAAACAAACTAAAATCCTCAAGCATGCAGTGCAGCAAAGGAACAGACTGATCCCAGATGTATTGCAGAAAACATCCTGAAAACTACAATAGTAGTAGCACCGATCATCACATTATACTTTGCTACTAAAAAAATCCACACTACTACTATGCACAATGATTGTTCATATATAATTCACCAATGGAAGGCAAAATTACAAAAATTACACTTTAAGTGACAATATGAAGACTAACGATTTCAACTGGGATCAATGCCCTTTTTAACAAGAGTAAACATTTATCAACTTCATCACACACTATTTACAACTAAAAATGTGGAGAATATTTTAAGCAGCCTGCAATCCTTTACAGGATATAAAACTTTTGCTATGTGTATGTGGAGCTCGTATGACCAGTTTTCACCTCAGATGAATACCCAAGACGTTTCAACACTATACCTACTATGTTTTATAAACAAATAAATGCATTTTTCAGAGAAAGTGTTAATAAAAAAATTAAGTAGTACACTTAGAATGACTATCTGTGAACTGTCAATCAAATGCATGGTGTGATCGACATAACAAAAGGCTTTAATATTTTAGACTATGTACTTATCCAACCCTATTCTACAATTCTATGATAATGTACAGGAATAACCTCTTCAAAGTCACCTGGAAGAAAGTCTAGGGGAAAAAATGGCACACCTGTGTTTTCTATCACTACCAGTTTGTGTTTTTCACCACCACCTGTTATCCCGAGATACATTAACATATTTTTGAAGGCCAGTGTAGAAATCCCAATTTACTTCTTGCTTGAAATGCGTTTGTGTCAGTCAAGTTGGAAGACAAGACAGTAAACTCAGAACATAACACACCTGGAAAAATAAAGCTGCATGACTAATGACAGGATCATAAATGCCACTTTAAAAGTTCAACAAGAAACTGGTATTGTTATTCCAATTTTTATCTCCATATAGCTTTCAGCAACAGAAAGGTATACTGGAAATATATGGAAATGAAGATCTCATTTTTATTTAATTTTTTTTCTCTAAAGGAGACAAACTAAAAGTTCCCTTTATCCCTCCTGGCCTTTCTTTTCAATATGAAAAATGCATGCTTGCAGAACCTAAACACATTAAATGTCACACGATAAACAGTTTATCATTGTCACACCAATCAATTCATTCATATACGATTATATTGGAAGTGTTCCACACTCCAGCACACCAAAAGCTATTATCACTGCATTTACACAAAGGAAGTCTTACCAGTTTATTATATTTTAAAGTGTTCAAAGTTTATCCTGAAGATCAGAATATGCCTCAACAAATTGGACTGCATACTGTCAGCTAAGAAACTATCACCTTACTTAGCTTCTGAATCGCATGGGAACTTCGACTAAATATTCAGTTATTTTACAGGCAAAGATCTCTTTCCCACACCCTTTGTGAAAATACCTTTTACTACCTTACATGACAGTGGTAACCACCTATTCAGGAAAGATAAATTACCTGGTTAAATATTTCATGTGTCTGAAACACAAATCAGGGCCAGATGTGCTATTTGCAAGAATTAAATTACTGTATCAATCAATGATAAATCACAAAAATGTGCAGACATTTAGTGGATGTTTCACTGAAAGAGGTTTAGTAAGATGCATATGTAGCAATTGAAAGCAGATTTACAGCATCTTTCCTCAAGTTGCTTCCAGGCTGCCAAGGTGGTACCCAAAATCTGTAAGCTAAATTAAGGTGCTGCATTCCTGGTTCCCTGGAATTCACCTGCACAGTATTGCAACGAAATAGGAATTACTCCTTATACAACTGTTCATGAAACTGTGTATTTATTTTAACTGCCTTTTTTTTTTTGGAGGACTGACATGACATCTGTGCGGAAAAGCCTGAGCAATCACAACGAGCTATCAGCCCTTCTCACCATCACTGCTGCTATTTTCAGTGATCCACCCTGTTTTTGCCACAGTACTCTTGGCGGCATTATGCTACTGTGATTCAGTATTTATCTGTTACATCTAGTTACATCACAACGCTATCTATACTACCAAAATGTCATGTGGAACTTCTGCAGCTAATACCAAACCCACAGTTTTTGAGCACTTTCTTCAAAATTCTCAGATCACAAAACAAAAAAGCCATTTGAGGTGTGCAAACATCTGGACTCCTGTGAATCATCCATTCTCTAAACGGGTATGCGGTCACACATAATCACTGCACCTTCTTTCTAACAATAATTAGGTATGAATAAAACTGTGTGTGAACTGCAGTGGTTAGCATAAAACCACTCGTAAAAGGAGCGTTCCAAAAATTGTCCTCAAAACATGCTTAATAACTGAGTTTTGTTTCTGAGCTACAGAAGCTCCTCACCAACAATCAGCATTACACTGAAGCAATTGCTTACCGACTATGGCAGCAAACAAGGCCCTTTAAGCTCAATGTATTAAAAAGTTGTGTTGAGAGATGTAGCAATACATTGTGAAATGACAGAATTGAGTGCCAAAACTTCTGCTGACAACAAAGTCACCTGCCAAGTCCAAGACTCACATTTTCATATAATCGCCAGGAAAGATTAATCCGAGAATATTTTCAACCCCAGCTTTGAAAGTAGGCAGCACTTGATATAAACTGAAAAGCATACCAGTGGAGAGCAGGCAAGAGAATACATGCAGAAAAAATCCTTTGTTTATAATCAAAACATGGTGAACAATTGGTCATATAAAATTAATTGTCAGAAAGAAAAAACTCCAAACACACTGAATGGTGTCACTACTAAGGCTTCCACAGCAATCTCAGGTTTGGAATCAGAAACACACAGAAAATTACAAAGTCACAATATTGCTACATCTTTCATGTGCATTTTGCAACACAGACACAGCTACAGAAAATATGTGAATGATAACAAATAAATAAAAACGGATTTTGAAACTAAGCAGTCACAAAAATGGGCCAGGAATAGAGTTCAGCTTCAATTCGCTATTACCATATGATCTGGGGGACTCTGTATTTTCTTGGTGCGATTACACCGACTGAGACTTAAAACTGTCATTTCCATTCACCCTGTAACAGTGGCAACCCAAAATAGGCAGCTGGGGAACGCCAGCAACTACCTCAACTCTTAGGCTAGAGGCAAGCCTCGAACATCGGTTTAATAGCAGTTGCATAATAAGACTCAAAAGGCCAAACACTCCTACTGCCTT